CTGTAATAGAAATGAACAGAAATGATCTTTTATTAATCATCTTGATCATCAAATGCAGGGGTTTCTCCACACAAACCGACAATTTACTCGATCAACTGAAACTTTTGAAAAGTATCTTTGTACTCTTTTAAACTAAAGTTGCGGCTCTCCGCTGTTTTGTTGTTGTTGTTCTGTCTCTTTAGTTTCGTTTTCTACTGTGCTGCCACCTTGTGGAACAACAGATTAGTGCAAAACCCAGTCAATGCGCATGTGTGTATATATATATATATATATATATGCATATAAAGTATGCGGTTACAAAAATCGGACAGTGCACATACTATTCTGGTGGAGTGATTTGTGTCACTCGCACTGTACTCAACCCTGGCGTACGCGTAAAGACCAAAGTATACTTTGGCCTTAAGCTGTTACTAGGTAGTTTTAGGGCAGTTACCAGGCTTTTTATAGGTTGTTTCTAAACAGTTTATTTACTTTTTCTATATAATTTTTAGGCAGTTACTAGGTGGTTGCTAAGCTGTTTCTAGGTGGTTGCTAGGCTGTTTCTAGGCCATTTAATGGTGGTTTATAGGATAGTTCAAAGTCGTTGCTATGCTGTTTCTAGACTATTTCTAGGCAGTTGCTATGCTGTTTCTAGGTGGTTGCTAGGCTGTTTCTAGGCCATTTAATGGTGGTTTATAGGATAGTTCAAAGTCGTTGCTATGCTGTTTCTAGACTATTTCTAGGCAGTTGCTATGCTGTTTCTAGGTGGTTGCTAGGCTGTTTCTAGGCCATTTAATGGTGGTTTATAGGATAGTTCAAAGTCGTTGCTATGCTGTTTCTAGACTATTTCTAGGCAGTTGCTATGCTGTTTCTAGGTGGTTGCTAGGCTGTTTCTAGGCCATTTAATTGTGGTTTATAGAATGTTTCAAAGTCGTTGCTATGCTGTCTCCAAGTAGTTTCTAGACAATGTCTAGGCAGTTACTATGCTGTTTCTAGGTGGTTGCTAGGCTGTTTTTAGGTGGTTTCTTTTTTTAAAAATGTATTTTTTTGGTATTTTTGCCTTTATTATGACAGGACAGATCAGAGATGACAGGAAGTGACGTGAGAGAGAGATAGTGGAGCGGGAACGGTCCTCAAGTCGGGATTCGACAGTTTTTAGGTGGTTTATAAGCAGTTTCTCAGCTATTTCTAGGCAGCTGCTATGCTGTTTCTAGGTAGCTTCTAAGCTGTTACTAGGTAGTTTTTGTGCTGTCTCTAGGCTTTTTCTAGGTGGTTTCTTGGCTGTATGTAACTAAGTGATTTATAGGCCGTTTCAAGGGAGTTGCTATGTTATTTCTAAGTGGTTGCTAGGCTGCTTCTAGGCACTTATCAGACCGTTTCTTGGGTGGGTTCCTCCTTCAGTGTGCAACTGTGATATTTCTTCGATTGTTTTCTCGTCTAGCAAGTGAAAATGGTGCGTCTGATCACTTAAGCACAGTAACAGCACACTCTGCTCAACAACACACATGATTTGAGGAATCATTCATGTCTGGAGCACAAACGCTGCAGTGCTTTCTTTACTCTGCTTAGCTCTAGTAACCGTGCTACTTGACTTAAACAGCAGTACAGCACACACAGGTCTTCATGAGGACCGGCTGTATGTGTGCAACACTGATGCTGTTGTTCTGAATGCACTGGGCAGCACATGGTTCTCATAACAGAAACCCTGATGAGACGCTCTCAGTGTCCACAACCACAAATACATCATAAACCTCAACTAACACAGTTACACACAGACCGAAGTGATCACAAACATACAGCAGACCCAAACTGACCCAGTTACCTGTGGAAGAACAGCAGAAGGGAAAGGAGGGTGGAGTCAGAGGGGCGGGGCCTCTGTTTGTGAGTATACGCCCCACCCCTTTCCACTTTCACAGAGGAAGTCAATGGGCTCCAAACAGGATTCTGACACTTCTGATCGTGAACACGACCCGAGCTGGGCCTGCAGGACGATCTGAGATTATTTTCTGAGCTCTGTGTTTGAGTCTGACCAGCAGGTGGCGCTGTATGTGTTTCTGTGCAGGAGGGCGTCTTTGAGCTGAGGGTGGGTTTGGATGAACACATTCGGTCTCGTTCTGGGATGGACGGCGTTCTGAGGCCAGAAAGTGTGTTTTTGGACGTTGTATGATGTGGCGAGCGCTTGCTGCCGATTGGTTTTTTGGTTTCCATGGAAACCGCCAAGCGACCAGCCCTCGGGTAGTAATCGAGCTTCCCCATTGGCCAGGAATCCCGAACCCTTCGAACTCCACCGGTGTCTCTCACTCGTTCTCCTGCGTGGAGGCGTGGCCTCACAGATGAAGGGGCGGGGCTCGGCGAGGAGGGGTGTGGCTCAGAGGCAGGTAAAGCTCCGGTCTGGGTTGTATTCTCATTCTCTCTTTGTGTTTGTTCACATGGAGGGAGTGACAACGGACGAGGCTGCTTTTTGCTTTCAAAAATGGACACCATCTTTCGTACGTTGACAAACATGGTGGATAATCAGCAGGTCAAAAAAACACTTGTAAAGGAAGCTCAGTCGTGCACGCAATTCAGAAAAGTTGTTAACTACACTACAAGCTACTAACAAATAGTAACTACCTACACTGAAGCTATTTAAGTGAGCAGTATCTTTTAGACTATACAACTATTAAAAAGCATTAATTAGCATTAAGCATTCAAAAAAATAAAAATCTCAATAAGGGTGGCGCATTAAACTGCATACTACATTCAAGTAGTCAAACAATATTAGTTAAAATCATACGGTTATTATTATTAACTAAAGCTAAAACTATTAAAACATTTTTGTAAATTGAAATAAATCTGAAATTATATTAAATATAAATATTAGAAGGAAAAACTTAAACCAGATGAAATAAGAAATAGAAGACGAAATAGAGAAATAGAATTAGAAATGTTGCCTTGGCAAATAACTGAAATAAATTGTCGAAGTCTAAGCTAAAAATTAATTACTGCACTTAAACCTCAAAATAAATCAATTAAAATTTAAATAGTGATGTAAAAAATAAATAAATAAAAAATCTGTTTGACTATTAAATTTCAAACTACATACAAGTACTAAAAAAAAACAAAAAAACATTTGTTCACATGGAGGGAGTGACAACGGACGAGGCTGCTTTTTGCTTTCAAAAATGGACACCATCTTTCGTACGTTGACAAACATGGTGGATAATCAGCAGGTCAAAAAAACACTTGTAAAGGAAGCTCAGTCGTGCACGCAATTCAGAAAAGTTGTTAACTACACTACAAGCTACTAACAAATAGTAACTACCTACACTGAAGCTATTTAAGTGAGCAGTATCTTTTAGACTATACAACTATTAAAAAGCATTAATTAGCATTAAGCATTCAAAAAAATAAAAATCTCAATAAGGGTGGCGCATTAAACTGCATACTACATTCAAGTAGTCAAACAATATTAGTTAAAATCATACGGTTATTATTATTAACTAAAGCTAAAACTATTAAAACATTTTTGTAAATTGAAATAAAGCTGAAATTATATTAAATATAAATATTAGAAGGAAAAACTTAAACCAGATGAAATAAGAAATAGAAGACGAAATAGAGAAATAGAATTAGAAATGTTGCCTTGGCAAATAACTGAAATAAATTGTCGAAGTCTAAGCTAAAAATTAATTACTGCACTTAAACCTCAAAATAAATCAATTAAAATTTAAATAGTGATGTAAAAAAAAAATAAATAAAAAATCTGTTTGACTATTAAATTTCAAACTACATACAAGTAATAAAAAAAAACAAAAAAACAGTAGTGTACAGAACGGTAATGCACTTATTTTTAAACTTAGAAATGTCGTCTTGTCAACTAACTAAAATAAGTTTAAGCACTAAAATTGGAAAAAAACTGGAAATAAATAAAAACTGAATAAAAATAAATTAAATCTAAATATTCATATTTTAAAAATCAGGGCGGTGTTTAAATTTCATGCATTAAATAAAACTAAAACAGAGTTGAAAACATAGCGATGCACTCAGGTTTATTATCATTAACTAAAATTGACAAAACTTTTTTGTTAATTGAAATAAAGCTGAAATTATATAAAATATAAATGTTAGATGAAGAACTTTAAATGAAAATTAGAAATGTTGCCTTGGCAACTAACTGAAATAAGTTTAATTACTAAATGGAAAATTAAGTTAGTAGCTATATAAAAAAAACACAAAAGCACACTCACATAAAATGACTAAAAATTAAACTTAATTAAAAATAAAAACTGAAAACATAAAAAATGGAAGGTCATTTGAACCGGATGCACTGCAGTGTCAAGACAGAGTTACATTTACATGAAAAGAGTTACATTTCACTAAAAAATGCAGTCGTCAAGTTACAAGCGTCCTGAAGTTCAGTGTGTGATCTCGGTGAGACCTCAGTGACGCTCCTTCATCACGAGACGACCGTCCGCCTCTGAACCCCCCGTTGTGCTGTAATCCCTCAAAACTGGCCGATCCCTGCGAAATCCCAGCAGCGGCGGATGGATTAGTGTAATCTGGGGTGAAAGATCTCCAGATCTCTACGGGACCGCACGACTGTTCTCCTGCCTCGGGATGTGTGTGTACTGTAAGTGTGTGTGTTCCCGTGTGACACACAGAACATGCGTAAACATGCAGAGTCAAACACACACATCAACACTGCACTCTTTGATTCAGTTCCCCGCCCACTGTCCGCCGCAGCCAATCACGGCTCGCGCTGGGATTCTGTGCCCGCCCACACAGATCCCAGCATTCCACACTCCGCCCACTTCATCTGGTATCACACACAAACACACACCGAAGTTACCGGAATACATAAGTCAGAGGTTTTTTATTATCGAAGCGATTTATATAATGCAATTAACATCAAGCACGCAAAACACATTTGTATCGGCACTGAATGAGAGGAATGTGAGCCTAAGTTTATTTACACACACAAACACACAGCAAATCCTTTTAAAATCAGTACTGAGAACAGAACACGATATAAAACATTC